TATTTATTATTACCTTATTAATTTTATTTACCTTTATCGTAACATCACACGTTGTTCAGGTGTTTGTACTTCCGGTTACCCCGCCCATCGACCCATGACTCCTCCCCTTTCCCCCCACAAGTTAAACTCCGCTCACACGCGCGGATCTGTAACCACATCGAACCAACCCTCACACCCACCCTGCACGTCCAGTCCGCCCGGCTCGGCTCAGTTCGGCTCAGCTCGGTTCGGCTCGGCTCGGTTCGGTTCGGTTCAGCTCGGCTCGGCACCGTCCACAGCAACATGCAGGATGGCGAGCATGGAGACAGCCGCCGAACATGAACGCATCTTGCGGGAGATAGAGAGCACAGACTCCAACTGTATCGGACCGACTCTCCGGTGAGTAAAGCCCGAACCTGGAGCCTCTCCTCCGGCCGGTTCCCGGTTCCCCCATCCCCGGCGGGAGCATTCGGACTCCCGCAGCCGCGACTAGCTCCAAGTTAGCAACTCCAGAAGCTGGGTCCAAACTTTAACAAGCATGCGCCCGTTATCGGACAGCTAACGTGCTAACTTTAGCAAACATTGAATCTAGCTCATTACAAAGACGCGGCGTGTAAACACTAGAAACCGAGTTCAATCACCTGACCCTGTCTTTAGCTTCTGTTGTGTTTAACTCGGCTTCCTGCTCATTAGACTTTTATTTTTATCAACTTGTCCGCAGGGATTTCAGTAGCTCAGGCTAACGTTAGCTAACTCGGCTAACTCATTGAGATTCTGCTCAGCGGTGACAGAGGCTGCAGTGGTCGTCTGTGGTGGTCTGTGGTTGTCTGTGGTTGTCCCTCTGTTCATCAGGTAGCTTGGTGCTTGGTGTCTGTCACTGTGACCTGGAGGAGTCGAGGCAGACTTGGTTCAGAGCCTGCTAGCCTGCTAGGTGATTAGCATCAGCTGGGATGCATTTCCATCGAGGAGTGTCAAGTGCAGCAGCCCTGAGACTGTGAGCTCTGACTGAGACCGTTCAAACAGCCCAGAGATAATTCAGCATCACACACCGGGCACAGAGGCCCCGGGGGATGTGTGTGTGCTGCTTGTAAATGCTCATGAGTGTTGTTGTTGTTGTTGTTGCTGCTGCTTAATAATTCAGAGGAAACTTCCCCTGCAGGGCTGAATGACTTTTCTGTTCGTTTCTAGTGTGTGTGTGCCAGCTTCATGGTTTCACATCCCACGAGTCTGTTCTCCGTGCAGCTGTGTGTTTGGATGTGAAATGAGCCCCAGTCCTCTGTCCCTGCTGACATGTGGAAGACACACATCTTTTACTTGTAGAGCAACACTGCAGCTGTGTTCTGACATGAGCTCTGGTGGATTTTGGTGAAGACGTGTTCTGAAGTTTGTCCTTCACGCAGCAGGAGCTTGTCCTGGTCAGACGTGCATCACACGTGGAAATCACATGTTTTTGTTTACAGCACTTTGGCACCAGGGTCAGCCCAAATCGCTGAAACCACTCGAATCTCGTCATCTTTGTAATTTGAATCTAGATACTTGTATTCTGGTTTCTTTTGAACTGATTCAGTTTCGCTGGAGCTGATTGTGACAGTTGAAGCTCTGACTCTCGGTCAGTTCTTCTCACAGGAGATCAGGAGAGAAAGAGAAAACTCTTTTTAAAGCTGCTGGCTTAAGAAGAAACTGTGTCTGAACCGATTGTCCGAAGAGGAAATAGGCAGTGAGTGAATGAGCAGGATGTATGTATGTGTGTGTGTATGTGTGTTGTCTCCTTGTCCCTCCGTGTTGGTCACTTTCTCCTTGCTATGTAGGCCAGTCGCTGTGCCTGATGGGAGTTTATCAAGCCAAGATAAGTGTGTGTGTGTGTGTGTGTTTGCTGGCGTTCTCAGTCACCATATAGCATCATGAGCTTGTGACACCTCTGGCTGCCATACTCTCCTCCTCTGAGAGTGTGTGAGTGCACTTCAGTGCCACAGCGATTGATTCAGGCTGGCAACCTGACGGATGTACTGTTATTTTCCTTGTGCCTACATGTACTTCCTGAGTGATGATTCTCCTCCAGCGTCTCTTCAACAGTGTTTCCACTTGAGCCAGTGCACTCACTCACACACTTAAAATATAATAGCAGAGTCTATGTTTGTTGCTGTCACGTCATTTTCTATTTTTAGCCCAGAGGGAGGTTGAAGACAGAGTTTCACAGGCGAACGCATCAGATGATGGAGGATGCAAGTGTCAGCTGAAAGAAACACTGCTTTAGTTTGTTGCTGAATCTTTAACAGAGCAATACAAGCAGATAACATGCTGTTGTTTTTATTCCTTATCATCCACCACTGACTTTACATGTTTTCCATTTCCTGTTATGTTACACACATGTTCTACGGAGATAAACGCGTGTGGGACGCCAAATCGCTGGCGGCCTTTCCTTTTTGTGTGACAGCGTGTGAGGCCGAGGATAAGAAACAGAGAAACTCCAAAACCCTTAAAATTGTTTTAATTAAACAAGAAAACAATTGCCTCCTTCAACAGGGACATTTCCCATATTACAGCCACAAAGGGGATAGAAAAAATAGAAACATTAATAAAAAAAGTAAAGAAATTTAAAAGTTCTTATATAACAAAGTCTTTTTAAGGATTTTAAAAGTTGTCTTTATTTTGCATGTCCTCTAATTAAGCAACATTGTGAGTGTGGTTTCTTAAGATTTGTCTGTGTTGTGGTGCAGCAGCCGTGTGCAGGTCGAGGCTGGCTGCAACATGCCTCCCTGACAGCAGAATAACTCAGGATATAAGTGAAAGGCTACTCAGTTTACAGACGTCCACCTAAAGACAGGAAAGACCAGTTTTAATATACAGTGTGTTCGTATTCGAACTCGAATCATCAAGAAAAACATCCAACGCGTTTGGATGCAGCGATGAATTAAAAGTATGAGGAACTGAAGTTCCATCAGTGGCTTTTGTGTTGTTTTACTTTGGCCAAATAAAATATAACAGACGTGTCAGTTGTTTGTCTGTTGTTGACTGATTGTGTGTGTTTTTGCCTCAGAAACAGCTGAGTGCGTCACAGCCGAGCACGTTTCTTTGTTTGTATGTGTTGACAGAGATAATTCAACAACTAGAGATTATATATATGTGTGTGTGTGTGTATATTTGCTGCGTTGGCAAATGTCATCTGTCAACTTCAGTCATGCTGCTACAAGTAAGGAGAAACCTGTGTGTGTGTTCTGAGCTCCACCCTGTGTTTAACACTGTGCAGCTGCCGTTCATTTGTCATTAATAACAGGGAACCGTTTATGCATTTGCTTATTATGTGGTTTTCGTCTACATCGTCATGGAAACCGGCCTTTTCTGATTGGTCGCCGTGTGTCCATCGAGGGCTCGGCCTTACAGGGACGGCAGTGCAGACATCGGGCCGGTCGGTTTAACCACAGGTCTAAAACAGTCGTGTTCTGTCATTGTACAAATATCGCGACTGTACGAATGAGTCGTGCAGCTCAGGGCGGAATATTCTGACGGTCATCATGGGCTGAGAAATTCAACACAACTGTGTGGCTGACGGTACCAGGCACTGTGAGAGTATAGGCGTGTGCACGGTGATAAATTAAAACCAGTCCCTGTTAACACACACACACACACACACACACACACACACACACACACACACACACACACACTCCCCACTGACTCATCCGACTGTACGTGGGAGGGGACCCATCCATTCTGACACACTCAGAGGTTGTTGTGCTCGTCTTGGGTTAAGATCCTATTGAGCAAGCTGACACACACACACACACACACACACACACACACACACACACGTGCAGATGTTTATAGTGACATCATAACTTCTTGTGTCCACGTTCCTCATTGTGAAAGTTCTTGTAGTGAATTCGTCTAACCCTCGATCTCTTCCTCCTTCTCTTCCTCCTCCTCTCCCTTAAACGTCTCATCCACCTTCCCTTACATCTCCTCCTTTTTAATCTATGTGTCTCCTGATTGTGACACCGCTGCACCTTTTCCCTGTTACACACCTTTCAAAGGGAGGAATAGAGAGGGGAAGGGTCTGAGGGAGATTATAAGTGGACATTTAAACGCTTTAACAGCGACAGAACATGTCTTAGTATAGTCATCGTGATACTGAGAGATATTAGATAACAAAAACCTAACTTAAAATACACGTTTCAGTGTTAATGCCTGATTCTTAATGTCTATCATTGACTGTTTTTCGTTTGTCAATGACATCATGAGGCTTGAGAAGGTATAAAATGTTTTTAGAGGCATCAAAATGTATTTTAAGGACTAAAAATGGGAGATTTTAAGTAATTCTTGATGCAGTAGATGTTAAATTATCAGATATTCCACCTATTCCAAGGCTCAAAGCAGTGAATTAATCCAGCATTTGGTTTATTCTAACTCTGTTGATGTATAGATATGTAACAAATATCCAGTTGTTCACCTTTCTAAAGGATTTCATGAGGTCTGTCTCACAGGTTCTGGTATGAAGAGTAGAAGAACAGTATCCAGTATTTCATTTATTCCAAGGATTAAAGAGTAATATTCAAAGATTGAGAACGGCCCCAGGAGCTCATATGAAAGCAAACTTAAAGGGAGAAATAAGAAATTATGTAACTGCTATTTTTCCTTTCTTGCTCTGATCCTCTTCTCTCCTCTGCTCTCAGTTACCGGGCACTGTGACAGTGAGATGCGTGTGCACGGTTACAAATTAAAACCAGTCCCTGCTAACACACACAAGCTAATCTTAGCTCATACACGCTAGTGCACGTTGTCCGGAAACAAACTATTGTGTGGAGACTTCACAGGGGAGAGGAGCGATTCCTCTATAACTTTGTTTTTAGTGTCCTGCACATGATGTCACTGACAGTAACTTTGTTCATTCAAATAGAAGAGGGATTGATTTTTTATTCTCATTCACCTCATTCTTTAAAAAACTTCTGTCGCACTTTCACTCAGAGGTTCAGTGTTTAATTTCATTCTTTACTTTATGAGTCTGTAGCTCATTGTTTGTCGAGGGCAGCGGTTGAACAATCTTTGGACGTGCACACACACAGACACACACAGACAGACACAGTGCTGGCTCCCTGTGTGGTCTCTTGTGTGTTTGTGTGTCTAAAGAAAGCACTGTGTAGCGTCAGACCTGCGCTCTATTGTACAAGTCGGGCATTTCCTGGTCAACAGGAAGAAGGGTGGGGGAATCATATCCATACACAGGTGTGTGTGTGTGTGTGTGTGTGTGTGTGTGTGTGTGTGTGTGTGTGTGTGTTTTGTATGTGCTGTTTTTAGAAGGGAGGGAACACAGGAAAAACCACTGAAGTCAATTGTTTAAACTTACTAATGTCTTAATTCTGGTTTTCCTGTATCTTGAGCTTCTTCACTTGCAGACTCCTAAATAAGACTTCCTGGATCCACTTTTAATCTACAAAGACATTATTTGGGGTTCTCTTCTTTCTCTCCTTAAAACTGTAGAGAACCTTTGCGTCGTGTGTGATTTTAAATCTCTAGTTTTTAGTCACCGAGCGGTGTTGTAGTCCGTAAAATAGAATGAAAATAAAGATGTGTCCTCGATGCGACTTTAAAACTCAAAGTACACGTTCAATAAATGTTTCTGAAAGATGGTTTCATTCGAGGAAGCTGTTATCAACAGACCTTTATACTTAAACTCTGTCCCCCAATTAATGTTCCTCAAACTTGGGCTCTTCATTTCTGCCTTAGGGGGAGAAAATGGAGACTGGTCATACAAAGTGTTGATAAATATTTATGATGATTGATGTAGAAATATAAGTAGAGAAACCTTTAAGTGAACAGCAGGATAACGATGCGTGTCTCACTTCTTCTCTCTACACTGTGGTGAAATCTCTGTTTGCAGGGGAAGTCCTGATAAAACCTCTCACTCATGGCTGTGAGAAGTCTAGACACTAAAAAAACAAACTAAAAATGACACCCAGCAGGAGGCTGGTTTAAATGTCTGGAGTGTGCAGACGTTCACAGAAGAACAATATTTATTTATTCTTTATCCTCTTTGTTGTAGGTGGTTTGATTAAAGATCTCACGAACGCTAGATTTGCGAAGTTCAAATATTATTTTAGGAAATAATATGAATAAATTCCCCAGAAACAAAAAAAAGCAAACAAACAAAACAAAACAAAAATTCTATATATTATTAGTTGAACTATTTTTGGTAGCAAGTAATTGTTGGGTCTGTTAAATAAAAGAAAATAGGGAAATTATATAATTTCACACATCTCAAGGATGCAGTTTTTAAATCATAGCTCCCCCTAGTGGACGTAGGTGGCACGTGCACCTATTTCCTCAACTGGATACCTCTGTCTCTCTGTCCTCACTGACTCTGCTGTTACTGCTCAGATATATATAAAATACATATATATGTGTAAATATATATATATATACACACAATAATGACCTAATAAAGTTCTTCCTCCTCTCACCTGTTGCCCTCTCGTTTCGCTTCAGGTCGGTGTACGATGGACAGGAACATGGCCTCTTCGTGGAGAAGCTGGACATGCGGATCCGCAACCACGACAGGGAGATCGAGAAGATGTGCAACCATCACTTCCAGGGGTTCGTCGACTCCATCACAGAGCTGCTCAAAGTACGAGGGGAGGCACAGAAGCTGAAGGTACGGAGCGGAGGGGATGTGGTTTAAAAAAAAATCAAAGAGGCTAAAACAATAAAATCTTTAAAAAGGGTTAAAGATGGAAAACGTAGATTTAAAAGATCATTCTTGATTTTTTTTGTTTGTTTTTCATTTTCCCCTCAGAGTCAGGTGACTGAGACCAACAGGCATCTTCAGGATGACGGCAGAGAGGTACATTTTCATCTCTTTTCTGACCTTCTTCACCTCTTTTCTAATCCTTCTCCTCCTCCTCACCACGTTTTTCCTGTTTTCAGCTCATCAGCTCCATGGAGGAGCTGAAACAGTGTCGAGTCCAACAGAGGAACATCGCCACCACCATCGACAAACTGACGCACTGCCTCCCAGGTAACACACCCACAGCGAGAACACTGAGGATTTAAACAGAGAGACATGTTGTGTCGGTCTCTTTCTTTTCATTTAACAAATGTTCGGCGAGTGAAAAATCCCTGAAATTGTATTTTTCTAAATCAAGGGTATGCAAAATCAAAATATCCTTTATTGCCAAATGTATAGTCTCGTTCTCAACCTCATTACGGTTTGTTTGCTTTGTCTCTTCTTGATTTCCACAGTCCTGGAGATGTACAGCAGACTTCAGGAGCAGATGAGAGCGAGAAGGTACGTTATTCATTCTGCTTTACGGGTTTGAGACACTTCCTACGATGTAAAGCAGAGAAAAACTAGAAACGACGAAATATTAAAGATTGACAGGAAGCAACAGGGTGAATGTGAAGTAAAGTAGCATGTATGTAACTTGTGCACTTTTATTTGACTGTCGAGTCTCAACCAGCAGCCACTAGATGGAGGCAGAGCGTCTGGACGGAGAGAGCACGTCCAGCTCGTCTCTGTCTCTCTCTCTCTCTCTCTCAGCCCTCAGCCTGACCTGTAGACAGGAGTCTGGTTGGTCATAAATTTGTCGTGTTTTTCTACTTCTCTCTGTCCTGCGGCTGCCGGGCTCAGCAGAGAGCAGCGAGAGGTCAGCCAGCGACGACTGCTCCTCGAGAGAGAAAGTGTGTCTGTGTGTGTGTGTGTGTGTGTGTCTGTGTGTGTGTGTTTGCGTGACAGACGTAGTGGAGTGAAGTGTTTGGGGGATATTGTGTTGCCCGAGGTCCCTGAGGTGTGTCTGCGTGTGTTTATTTCTCCCTCTGTGTGTACGCTCGTGCTTGTCGACGTTTTATTGTTGTGTGTCTTGTTAGTTTGGCTAAAGTTTCTTCCCGTTTCTCCCCGACGTGGCCGGGACGCTTCTTGTAAAAAAAAAAAAAAAACACTTTTAATCTCAGTGAGACTTTTCCTGGTTAAGTTTAAAGAACCAGAAGGACTCTCAGTAGAACTCACACCTCCGCCAAGGCCCAACAGGCTCCTCATGCAGCCACATTTAAACTCACTGATTTGATTTGGATTAAACATTTCTAGATCTGCCCCTCTGTCCAGAGCCGCCCCCAAATTTTTACGGATTGTTCCTTGACCCATATTCGATCCTTCCACCAAGAACTGTGGGAACGTGTGTAGTAGTTTTTGTTTTAAACTGCTGACAAACCAACAGTTAGAGGTGAAAGAATAACGCTCCTTGGCTGAGGTAACAAACCAAGAAGGTTCAAACCTGGACTGTTTTCACACACCTCATATTCTTGTGTGTGTGTGTTAGGTACTACCCGGCGCTGCGGACATTGGAGCAGCTGGAGCTGACGTGTCTTCCCCGGGCGGGTCAGTACCGGTTCTGCTCCATCATGGCAGAAAACATCCCCAAACTGAGGACTCAGATCCGGGACAGTGCCATGACGCAGCTGAGGGACTTCCTGGAGAGCATCCGGAAACACTCCGACAAGATCGGAGAGACTGCCATCAGACAGGTACACAAATCACACACTAACATAAACACACACACACACTCAGGTTCCCGGTGAATCTGTTTGCTTTGGAGTCGTCAAACAATCTGGAAGCCTCTTTTGGAAGATGTCCGTTTGCTCAAGCCAAGACCCCCTGATCCCATCACACACATCCCAGCTTGAGCGCATGTGATGGATTTTGCAACTTGGGAGAAATCCACACTATGAGCGCAGCTGAGGTTGATGGGAAGATCATTATTTTTGCAGGTATGAACCCCATAAACCAGAGGAAGACTTTCAGTTTTTACCTGATGATTGAGGAAGTTAAAAAGTCGAGACATCTTTATGATTAATCCCGAGGAGCCCGTGAACTTCTGTATAAATCAATCTGTCCCGTAACTGGTGAGTTATTGCACAAAAACACGTCAGGGGCTCAGTTCGCCACAGTTGGATTGATTGTCTGAGATCCAAGTGTCTGTTTGTTTGTTTGTTTGTTTGTTTGTCCTCTATCATCTGTTCTCACGCCACAGTTGACTTTTATTCTCCATCATGTCTTTGTCTCTGTTAATCAGAAGCAGCTTGTGTGTTTGTGTGTGTGTGTGTGTGTCTGTGTCCCTTTGTGGTTCAGCTGCCAGTAAACAGGCATGTAGTCGTTGTCGGAGACGTCTTGTTGAATGTACGCACTCTGACACATACACACACTAATGTACACACACATAGAGAGGCAGCTTTTCAGCACTTACCTCATTGTTTTTGTGTTTTCCAAGGCCAGGGCAGTTCTCTCTCTCTCTCTCTGTGTGTGTGTGTGTGTGTGTGTGTGTGTGTGTGTGTGTGTGTGTGTGTGTGTGTGTGCGTGTGCGTGTGTGTGTGGGATCCTCAGCTCAAAGTGAGGCCTCTTGTTTATTCGTGTGACTCAATTACTTTGGGGAATGTTGCTCCACAGAGCGTCAGGATGAAACAAATTCCTTCGTTAGTAAATGCAGATTAAAGTTATGATTATTTATATTATTAATATGATGTCACTTATCACAGTTTTAAGAAAATAGGCTGATCAGTTTTTCTTATTATTATTTTTGGTGGTCTCTCACTTATCCACTTTCATTCGTAGCTTGTTTATTTAACACCTCATTTTGTGTTCAACACTAGTTTACGTCTTTATCTAGCAGGTGAAAAGCAAACTAATGTCGTATTTGTCCTCTAGATGTCACTAGAGACCCAGTTTTAACCCTTAATCCGAACCACAGCTGATAGTTGAGCAGAGAAACAGAAGCAGAGCAGGTCAGGGGGGTCACCAGCTGGTTTGGTGAATATTCAGTCGTGTGAATCATTCTCTACGGACTCAGGAGTCAGCGACGCAGGTGAACAACTATGGGGGATTTTGTAATGGATGTTAGTGATCGCTCTCCGTCTTCAACACAAACTAATGAGAGGATATAGTTTTTTTCTTCAACCCTTAGTTCTTTCTCTGACGTCATTTCTTGCAAACTCTTTAAAATGCGTCATGTCTATAATTTCTTTACAACCTAAGATAAACGGTTAATGAGTCAGTAAACCGTTATGAATGAAGAAAGTATTGAAATTGTTATAAAGCAGGAAACTAATATTACAATCTTACATGTGTTTCCATCAAATTCTTCTAAATAAACATGTGAAACACAGTGTTCAGAATATTTCTGAACACTCCGTAAGTTATTTGACATTTCATTTTCTCTGCTCCTCTCTGTAACTTGTATCTGGTGCCACTGTGTTTTATCAACGCAGTCTCCACCACATGCAATGACGTCATCACAAGCGTTCAACTAGAAGACAGAGGCCTGAAACTTTCTGTTGCAAAGTTAAAGACTGTTCCAGCCATCATTGTTTTTTCTATTCTAGATTGATTTAATCATGCAAACAACAAGCTCCTGAAGTGTTGAAGCTGTTCTGGAGGCTCGTGACGTTTCCTTTCCGTCTATATTTTTTCACTCGTGTAATAATTAAAGCATTAATTTTGAGCGAGGAGATAATTATGATCACGGTGAAACCCCAATGAAGAAAAAACTTAAGTCAATGCAGCGGAATTTTTTCCCCCACGTATCACTCCACTGCCACACGTTGGAAAACCGTCCAGTGACCCTTCGGGTTGGGGGGTCCTCGGGCCGCAATCCGAGAATCGAGAATCACTGGTGTAGAAAATCCACTTGCAGTCACTGAAGAAACTAACCGCTAACTCCTCTAACCACTAATTACGAGGGAGTTTATGGAAACCCCAGTGGTCCGGCAGCCCTGATACTGATACTGGGATTATGTTGTTGTATCAAATGTTTGGCTCAGAGCGCCAGGTCGGAAGCCTTGTCAGTGTGTGTGTGTGTGTGTGTGTTAGAAGTTCTTCCTTCCTTCCTTCCTTCCTTTCCTTCAACCCTCCTTCACTCTTCTCTTTCTCCGTCTGCTTCGCTATTCTCTCTGTCTCTCCATCTCGTCCTCTCAGACAGTGTGTCTCTCCTGCGCGCTCTGTTCCAAATTAGCTCTAACTTTCTGTACCCGGCCGTCGTTACAGCCCCCGTGACCAAGGATGTGAAAATAAATAGATTGTAGAAAGAGGGGATGGAGGGAGGAGAGCGCAGGGCTTACAATGGAGCTATTGTGTGCTGGCACATGCCCGTAGAAGAAGAGGAGGAGGAAGATGGGTGAAGAAGACATGTTCATAGCTCTGGTTCTTAAAAACAGGGCCTATTTCTTTTTGGGCCACTTGCTGAAGTGACTGGTGGTCGTCCTTCCTGAGAGGACAGTCACAGGACGAAACAATTTGTCTGGATCCTTTGTGCATAGTTCTGGCATCTACTAAGCCCTTGTACTCCTTCAAACTGATTTTATTACTCGAACTGGCTCCCCTGGATCGTATTTCATCAGCAACCACCATTGAGAAGAGGGGGAGCAGAAGAAGAGCTGATGAAAACATGGATCGGGGGGGTGAAGAAACAGTAGAAGGATTAAAAAAAGGAAATAGGGGAGGAATCTGGAACCAGACTTGGTCCAAATGTCTTTGTCATTGTTTCAGGACTCTCCTCTGTCATTTGTCATTTCCCTCGTTCTCTTGCTCTGTCACATCACATTTCCCCTCTCTCTCTCAAGATGTCTGTCTCTTCTCCCTCTTTCCATCTCCTCATCTTTCCACCTCTTTTTTTTCCTCCAGTTTCTTTTATTAATGCTCCGCAAAGGACGAGCTCAGAGCTTCTGATGTGTATTCGGTAGTTACTACACACACACACACACACACACTCAGACACACACACACACACTTAGACTCACACTCACTCAGAAACACACTCACACACACTCACTCACACACACACACACACACTCAGACACACACACACACACTCGCACTCGCACACGCTAATGGGAAACAGATTGTTGGGCCTGTGAAGTGGAAGAAGATTGATTACCTGTATCTAGTTACTGAACACACACATGCGTGCGCGTGCTGCGAGGGTGGCACAG